CGGCCGGGCCGGGCCGGGCCGGGCCGCTCCGCCACCCCAGTCCTCGGGTCAAGCGTCTTGCTTAAGGCCTTAAATGGCCCTCCCAACATGTTGATTATTCGTTTTAACTATTAATTCTGTTTGTTCCACCTGCACGTTTCAATGACTATTTTAACTTTTTAAGGTCTCCGTTTGAATGAACCCTTTTATTGTCAATTATGAAGCGTGTCAGTAGTCAAAGACATCTCATTACATAAATTAAATCCAGAGAGACCACCAACAGCTGAAGTGCTGAAGAAAACTCTGCTTCCTCTTTGCCAACGCCAGCTGCGGGGCCTGCTCTTGCCAAACTGCTGGAAGGCTAAGGGCCCCCATTGGGAGACGAGCCTCCAGGTCCACGCAGGTCTCCCAGAACTGCAGGTGTCAAGTTTCACAGATAAGTCAGGAGGGCCTGTGGAAGCCGGCCATCCGCAGCGTCTACCGCTGTGGCCTTCATTCAGGCCCAGTGCGCCAAAGGTTATACAGAATCCGCGTGGCGTCCCTCTCCAAAGAGCTCACAATCTAAGGCAAGAAAACAGAGGAGAACACAACAGCAGAGTCCAGCCGGGGGTCCAGGAATACAAACCAAGGCCACCGCACCAGAATGTTGACACGTGATCGGTCAAGCCACGCGCCCCCACGGAGGAGGAGTTCACCCGATCTGCTTGTTGGAAAATACACTCAACAGAACAAAAAACCACAGTGGTTTCTTTACTTCAACAAAACAATTAGATGGAGAAAACAAGCCAGTGGAAATGGAATCCAGAAATGAAGTAGCAATTCAGTAGTGCAACCTGGGTATTTTCTAGGCAAGTTCAGCTCGTTAGAACACTCCAAATCATTTTACAAACATTAGCTGACCACGTGGAAGCCCCTCCCCATTCTAAGGCTTTAAGAAAATCACAAGGTCAATCAAACTACAAAATAGCTGTATGATTCAGATTTCATTCATGACATAGAGATTGGAGAAGCCACCCTAAAAAGAGATCACAGGATCATATGGGGCTGTGTGAGCACTGCCTCCTCTGGCAAAGTTAAGAATCTGTGCGCTCTGCCTGTGCCATCAGAGTGAGAACCAAACCAGAGGCTCAGAGGGGCTCTCTTGCTGCCTGATGCTATCATTAACCGAGAGTGCCATCCTCAGAGTCTCTCAGAAAATCTGTCCACAGCTATTTGTTTCTCCTCACAGGTCCATACAGATATGCACAGAAGGCCAGTCAGGCTGTTCGAGGCTCACCTAGAGAGGAGGAAGGCCAGCAGGCCACATGGGACTGTTCAGAGGGTTTTGAGTCTTGTTTCCTAGAGGATGGCAGTCTTCAGCCACATGGGAAGGCACCCTGAGAGGCAGAGTGGCCTGAGGGAGGAAAGAACCGCCGTGCAATGCTTCCGGTCCAGATCAACTCAAATGGAAAAAAGCTACAGCATCTACCAAGGCAGGCTGATCATCTCCCACTTTAGAACAGCCAGCTGGGAAAGCAAACCTAAGGCAACTGTTCTCTCACCCTCAGCAGCTGAGGCAAGGACGACCTGCCTCTAAGAACCAGTTACATAAATTCTGCTGGAGGGGAAGGGAAAGAAAGCTATAAAAACACTGTTCCATCAATCCCTTTTGCAAAGTGTCTTGCCAGTTGCCCAGTGGTTCATTCTTTTCCCGGCTAGCGTTTGGCACATTAACACCAAAGCCCTCTTGGGAATATTTGTGGCTACTCAAATACTACAGCATGATGCCAAATAAAAGAGAAAAGAAAGTGTCCAGATGTTCTGCAGGTGCAAACCAGAGAAAGGAGTGACACGGATGTGTCCAGGTCACTGGAGCTACCCCACACTGTGTTATTCTGCAGATGAGCAACAAAATCATCTTCCGTGACCACCGGAACCAGCCGCATTAGCAACTGCCTCACTGAAAACCTTGAGATCACCACCGTTCTTGTCAAATATCAAAGTGCAAGCCAACCTGTTGAATCAGAACTGCAGAAGGGTGATGCAGCAAGGAATACAAAGGGATGACTTTAGGAGCTATTACAGTCCTGAGCAGACTTCTTCTAGGCTGTGTGCAATGTTCTCGAGCGGGTCACTAGGAGCAGGTACTGCAGGAAAAAAAGAGAAGGGCAGACATGGGTTTTCACAGCAGGCAACACTAGGCATCCCAGCTGTGGGACAGACATTTGTCATCTCTGAAGCAGACCAAGAGTCTTGCTAACAGCATGCATGGTAAAACCCTGCTGGGCTTACGAAAAACACACCCTTGTTTCATGTTAAGTTTCAACAGCACAAAGAGCATTCCTAGTGTTTGGCTTCTTAATACTTGCTGTGCAAATCAACCATTCCACAGACTACCAGTTCTTCATGTGCCAAATCCTGAAATCAGGTGGAGTGCCTAGTTGTCTGCCTCCCGAGCAAGTCTACGAGGGGAATCCCCACCCTTCAGAACCACATTAGTATTTAGGTCTTTCAGGGGGGTTGAAATTGCCTTCCCGTTGGCAAAAGCTGTCTTGCTGCCCCTCAGGATGTAGTTCTAGGAGATCAAATGATCTGCTATTGCCTGACCTCAGCATCTACCTACCAGAGGTCCCCAGGCTGCTGCTCCGGGCGATCCTAACTGGCAGAAGGCATACACCCCGCTACCGATGCCTGCCGTTGCCAATACATGCCTCTCCCCCTGCAGGCTGATCCCCACATCGAGAAGAAAAGGCCCCGCCTACGCAAGATTGTGCTTTGATTTACTGACTAGCCTGAAGCACAAAGGAGGCCCAGCTCAAAAAAGGCAGACTAGAGGACGCTGGCAGGATCACCCTGGTACAAGACTGTTTAAAGCACAGGTTCGGTCAGACTCAAGAGGCTCCCATCCATCCTAGAGATTTGGGAGAAAGACTTAGAGAGATTGAAGTATGACAGCAGATCAGGAGACAAGAGGAGTCAGGCATCAGGAGCAGATGGCTGGAGACGAGGGGAAGAGCACCGGCTGATGCCTGGATAGAATAAAGGAAAGGGAGCCACAGACATAGTGTCATTTCACTACTGAAAGTGGGTTAAGCTAATCTAAGGACAAAATTAATTGCAAGAAAGCTCTCAAAGGTTGAAAACAGAGGAGGCTGGGACTGTATAAGCCCGAAGCTTCCCGTCAGCATCAGCATTTTTAATGTTTTTTATCACCTCTCCTAAAATTCGAGATACCCATCCAATCCAGGCTTGTAAGCCATATTTATTTATTTTATTAAACAAATTTATATGGCTTCCCATCTCACAAAAAGGTGGCATAGACTCTGGGTGGCATAGAACAATCCAATAAAACTGGATATTGGCTGTGCTGTAAGTACAGAAGGCAGATTCCATCTATTTACTCAAACAAGGAACCAGTTACATGTGAATTATTTGGCTTTGTGCCATGTCACCTTGAGTCATCAATGAATAGGGTCTTTGGAAAAGAAAATAGATGGTCATAAACAAAGAAAAATAAATGATTTGATTCCAGAGGGAAAAAAGGCTTTTAAAAGCATCACAGGTGGACTGTACTTTGTATACCTGAGCTCTAACTCTAGAACAGTTCAGAGGCAGCTGATGACAACTAAGGCTGCGTGCCCACCCCTGGCTTGCTCCCTGGCCCTACAACTCACACCAGGAAGAGGAACGAGTGAGCAGAAGCCTCTTAAATCCAGAGAGGCTGGAGCCCATGTTTAGGACCGATCAGCAGCTTGCCAGCAACTGTGGAGAGGCTGTGGATGGACAGGTATTATCCTCCTGGCACTGAAACCTGGAGAAAGAATAGCTGTGCAGCTAGGGAAACAGAGAGCAAGGGGAAACAGATATTCCAGTGTTGACGGCCAGGGGCCAGGGCAAATGAGGGAATCTACAGCCCTCTGGATTTTGTTTAGCTGTAACTCTCAGGAGCTCCGTTGCCTTGGCCAGTGGCGAGGGGTGCTAGGAGCTGTAGTTGAGGCCATCTCTCGGCATCTGGAAGGCATAGGGGCCTGGATGGGGAGAGAAAGGCTTCAGCTCAACCCCAGCAAGTCTGAGTGACTGGGTTTTAGGCCCCCCTGGATCCAATCATCCGCCATCTAATTCTGGATAGGATGGTGCTACCCTAAACAGAACTGGTGAGCAACCTGGGAGTTCTCCTGGACTCGTGCCTCCTGTTCAAGGACTAGGTGGCAGTCATGGACGGGGGGGGGGGGGGGTGGTGTAGAGTTACCCCTCATGCACCAATTCTGCTCCTTCCTGGATGGGGAGGCACTGCTCATGGTTGCTCATGCCTTGGTCATCTCTGGAGGAGATTATTGCAATCCACTCCACACGAGGCTACCCTTGAAGAGCAACTGGAAGCTTTAACTGGTTCACGCTACAGCCACACAGGCAGTTATGGGTGCGCCTTGGTGTGCCTGTGCACTGACTCCCAGTAGGCTTTCATGATGCTGGTTGTCATGAATAAAGCCCTTCATGGCACAGGGCTGGGTTATTAACCTGATTGTTCCTATCCACCCCACTGGTTCCAACACAGGGGCACACTCCAGCTCCCGTCTATCAGGGAATATCATCTGGCAGGACCTGAAGCAGACCTTTTATTTCAAGATCCATCTTTGCTGGCATTTTGGAAAGTCTTAAGAACAGAGCTGTTTTCCCAGGGTTGGAAAATTAACGGAGCCCATGAGATGGACGTTATTGATAGTGATTTGTCTTCAGCTGCTGCTAAATGTATATTTGTTATTACTGGCAGGTTTTATTGAGTTTTTATTCTATGTTAGCCACCCAGAGTTGCTGTTACAAGATAGGTGGCCATATCATTTTATTGAAATAATAGTTCAGCGACTTCCAGAGGGACCCTGGTGAGCTGGAGCCTTAGGACCCTAAAGAAAACATCTAGTCCCTTCTTCCCACTTAGCTGAAGAGTGAAGCAAAGATCTTATCCAAAACCAGTATGGTGAAGACTAATTAGGAATGTTTCAGAGAGACATCAGAGTGCTAAGAGTTATAAAAAGTTCAGTATTTTGGATTTTAAGTCACATTTGTCTAGTCTATCACATCCCTGGGGCCCAATAGCCAGATACTAAGCATTAAACACCCGTAAAAGCCAGAAGATCCAAGAAGCAGCTTCTGGCAGACTGGTAACAAGGCCTAATAGCCTTTGGCTTACAAAGCCACCTGAGAAAATCAACAGTTATAGATCAGAAGAGGCCCACTGAGAAACAAAATGGAAGGATGTTAACAAAAAATCAAATAAAACTGGGTATTTCTGTCCCTGTCTGGAAGAGGTGGGTGGGGGTCCCCACGTCTGTTGAGAAGCATGCAGGAAGAAGGAAGAAGATCCCAACCTTCCCCTGTTGGTTACTCAGACCGTCTCTGCAAGTTCCTCTGGTCTTCTGTCCTTTAACTATAGCAGTTCTCGCTATGGTAAGGCTGAGTTGTACACAGGGGCCCCCAGTAGAGCGCTCTTTGTGCTCAGGGCATGCTGCTGCCAAAGGCAGCACAAGAACTGGCTGGGAGTGCCTCTCCTTCTGAAGTCTTGGCCAGCCCAACTCCATCTCGGCTTCCCAACAGGCCCAGGCTAAGATGGCCTGCTGTACAGAGGAGCTTCTCTTCCCTCGGCTCCCTTAGCTGAAAGCGTGGGCAGCACAGGGAGATGGCATTCCCTCTCCTCCTCTGCTGCCTCTCTCCAATATTGTTCCCTGCCTGATGGCTGTGAGGCTGCTACTCTACTTTTCCTTACGCCTTTCTTGGTTCAAGGATGGTTCTAGCTCAGTTTCCAATGATATCTAACAGCAAATGAGAAGTTTAGCTGATACAGATACAAATTTATGCAACTAGAGGTTGGTGACACTGGGCAACCCAGGTTTTGGTTTTGGTTTTAATTTCTCTGACATTCACCATTCTTGGAATTTCAAAAAGAAGCGCTCAATTTATTCATGCGAAGAACAGCCCAACCAAGAAAGTGTCTTGGAGGAGAAAGCTCTTTCCCTCTCCAAAAGGGACACCCGGGGAGGACGGGAGGCCCCACTTAGAGACACCAACAGGCTCAATGGAAGCTGATGCAGAAGGAGACACTCTGTTTCTGGCATGCTGCTGCATCTGGAACGCAAATACAAAGGGGAAGGCTCATTCAGAACGCAAGCCCGCCAGCGACCTATGGCTAACGGTTCGTCTACACCACCTGAGCCTGCTTCCCAGCACAAACTCAAGCTGGCTTGTCTTCCTGCAAACTGAAAGACAACAGGAGAAAAGCAAGAACAGCTAATTGTCTACTTTGCCCTCCACTGTTTCACTCTCCAGCTCAAGAAGGGAGTCCCCTCACAAACCAGAAGGGACAAAACAGAACAGACGGCAGCCAATTTGGAAGAGATGGGATGTGCCAGGAAAGGCTTCTAACGCTTGGCACGGCACAAACCAAGAGAATCTTCCACGCTGCACAGAATCATGGCGAAAGGTTCCAGGGCAGCAACTGGGGAGGGGTGACCAATCCGGCCAGTTGCAGCTCACGGGTTCCCAGTGAAAAGGACTTTCTCAATGAGGCCCAGTGCTCACCCGATTCTTTGCTCATCCTTCCTGTATTACATGCATCCTGCATCTCATCATCATCATCATCGTCGTCGTCGTCGTCCTCTTCTTCCTCCTCCTCCTCACCATCATTATCAGCAGCCTCACCACGCATTTCCTTTGCAATCAACTGTCTGGCAAGCTTGATGTTCTGTGCTTCATTGTAATGCATTTTCCTCTTCATTTCAAACTGTCTCTTTTTCTCTGTATCATGAGAAACAGAATATATATAGCATGGCACCAACCATTGATTCACAAGTTTCATTCCGTTTCACATACATGAAGTCATGCAAGTTGAAATCCAGCGCAATCAGATTGACTGGGGGATTTCTGCATCATAAATCACCCCCATTTTGCATAATGCATTGCAGGAGTGTCTACAAGCTAGATTATATGCAACAGTTACCTGCACCTGGACACACACCTTTTCTAAAACACGTAGACTCTCCCACCTGAAAAACTGCAAAGGGTGGTGGTGGTGGTAGAAGCAGAACAAATCCAAAATTTAATTGGTTTTCTCCAGCCCTTGCGAACATACACACAGGCTGGCTAAACCAGCAGGCTTGGTAACACTAATGTTCAGCCACCAGAAGAAAAAATATCTCAGGACTGGAAAGATGGTGGTGGAGTGCCAGTCCAGTTATTCATAAGCCATTAAAACCATTCACGTTCGCTTACATGTACATGGATTGCAGATCCTTTTTGGACAAATAAGGTAAGCAGCAGAGTCCACCTGCGCTCTTATTCCCTTGAAGCTAGCAAGGTGGGGGACATGGAAGCGTGGACCAGGCAGAACCATTACATGACCACAGGTGAGGTGCAAGAGAAGGCAGGAGAGGGAGAGAAAGAGTGGCTACCACATTCTTAAGGGTCTGGCAAGTCTGATCTTGGTCATTTCTACACTATGTAGCGCCTGCAGTAAAAACACAATCTGCTCAAGCGAGTCCTTGCCATTCCTGTGAGAGCTCTTGCAAAGAGTTCCTGAGGGCGGGGTGTGTTACAGCATCGGTCTAATGCTGTAAAACCACAAACCCACACATACCCAGTTCTTCTGGAGTCAAGTCTACCTCGTCATCCTCCTCCTCACTGCTGTCATCCTGCTTTGCAAGGATTTTGGGGCCCTGTCCCTTGGCCGCGGCTGCCAACCTGTACAGAGAAAATGCAAAGCTGGGCTGAGGCTGCTTGCCCAAGACACACGAGAGGTGGGAAGTCTACATCTCCAGAAAAGCATGTGAACGGGGGTCTTCCGGCAGATATCGGGCACTTAGGCTTCCAGAGCAATGAAATCACAGGTCGAGTGGCATGGCCCTCTCAAGTAAGAAAAACCACAAATGCAACGAAGAACCTTTTCACAGCACCAAGAGTTCAACCGTGGAATTGTTTATTGTAAGATGTAATGAGCTAAATGGAAATTGGAGAAATCTAGGGATGAACACATCGCTAATGGCTAGGTGGGAGCCCAGAATGTGGCTGAAGTCCATCCGCTCAAGTCCAGCAGCCTTGTTCCTGAAGTTCCAGCCCCAACACTACCCTAGCCAAAACTTTGGGAAAGAGGCAACTGACTAGAGGGGGAACCCATTTAAAAAAGTTTCAATTCCCCTACCCTGCTCCTGGTCATATTCCATTTTTACAATTCAGAACAGGAAGTGGCTGTGAAATTAGAAGAAAAAATTAAAAAAAAGTATGCATGTTTTCCTTTTAGAATGAATAAAACGAGAAGTGTTGTTTATGCAAATTGTACTGTATGTAGGATTTAATTTGTTCAGCATTAAAAAGTTATCATTTCTTATCATATAAGAAATCTTCTTGCACTAAGAAACAGCTGCTGGTGCCATCTTCATGAGTGGGGAGATACAGGTCTTCTCATACCAAGACTTAAAAAAATATCAGAACAAAGTGAGGTAAAAAATGCAATGGTTGTTTGAGGGTACACAGGTTCTCCCCCCACCCCCCAAAAATAAAATTTGGCTTAAGACCAGTTCTAAACTGAAGCTACCAAAGAGATTTATTTATTTATAATTTCTATTTTATGGCCACCCACTTGTTAATTACCTGGGCAACTTACACAGGGTTAGAACGAACTGATAACAATACACCTAGCTGGAGGTCCTGAATGTAACTGCATATAATTCTTTGGTAAAGTTCATAATTATGCCATAATTATCCCTGAATTTCCTGCATTATTTCCAACACATACATGTTTTTTATAGTGTAATTATATTATAATTTCATTGTTAAATTCCCTGAATTTAAGAGAAGACCCTGCTAAGTGGCTATACTTTTAGAAAAATGAATGGTCCTGTATAAATTTAATAAATAAATATCCATTATCCCATTGTCCCAAAAGAACACCTTGGTTTCAACCCTTCTGGAAATTTTACACCTCTATGCTTTTAAAAAATACAACTTTCAAAATGTGATACTTTTTTTTTTTTATAGGTTACAACAAACAGAATAGACTTTCAAGGAGTAAACCACTATGCCCTACACCAGGGCCTCCTGGAAGAGCCAAATGTTCAGTTTAAAGAAAGCTCAGAGGGTCAGGACCACATAAACCTCAGGGAGCCGCTGTTCTACAGGACAAGTGCAGCTACTAAGAAGGCCCCACAAGATGACCACGCTGTGCAGCGGGACAACAAATATGCCAACACTTCCCAATCTTCTCTCTCTATCAATTACAACACTACCTTGTTTTCCAGCAGCATAGACAAAAACAAATGTCTCCAAAGCTCCTCACGTAAGAAAAAAAAGATGACAGGGAAGGGAAGAAAAGGAGAATGCAGACAGGTGTAGTTGACAGAGACATACACGAAAGCTCAATTCCAATTGAAAATGAATATTAAGATGGACTGATGAACCCCTAAAGGCAGGAACTTTGGGGAAATTTACACGAGGAAGAGCTGTGAAACACAGCTCTTGGAGTTTATGAAAGCTGATTTCAAAAAGCTCAGAGAAAAAGTGGGCATGATTAGAAATTCAGAAAGAAAAATAAAGACTCAGATACTGAAGCCAAAACATTTTCAAATTGGAAAGTTGAGACCACCTACCTGAGGTCCATGGGGTTGCACCAAAAGGAGAGATGTAAGGAAGGACATCTAATCAAGGAGACAATATCTGAGAGGCCAAAAAAGAAGTTGTCCCCATGCAGAATAAAGACAAGAAGTTGGATCCAGAACACTGCCACCCAGTCAGCTTGAAATCACCCTTTGTGAAATTCCAAGCAGATAATTAAGTAGCCACCCATGAGTTTCTAGAAAAGAATACACTGATAACTAGCAGCCAGCATAAATTTGGAAGAAATTGTTCCAAACCAATCTCTCTCTCCTTCCACAGTCACTTTTTTTTTGGTGCCTTCAGGACAGTGTTGACTCCTGGCAGCCGCCTGGACATGTCCCAGCAGTTTCTGTTGGCAAGATTTCAGAAGTAGTTTGCCCTTGCCTCCTTCCTAGAGCCAAGCGGGTATGAGTGGCCGAGGGTCACCCAGCTGGCTTCGTGCCTCAGGCGGGACTAGAACTCGCAGTCTCTTGGCTTCTAGTCCGGCGCCTTCACCACGCCAAACCGGCTCTCTACGGTCACTAGTCTGGTAAATTACAGAAGTGCAATGGACAAATAGGACAGCCTTCAGACGCAGGACAGAACCTCCTGCTCTCTGAATGCTCTTCAAGGGCCACCTCAAATGCCGTCTCAAGCCTTTGTCCAATCTTGCGTGCCCGTGGTTTTTCTAAGGACTACATGGGTAAGGGAGCAAAGGGCTGCTTGTCAAATTTGCAAATGAAGTCATCAAGTGTCAAGGAAGACAAAATCAGGACTTCAGAAAGGCAACGCTCAACCAAGAGCTGTACACTTTCAGATACAAAAAACAAGGATGCAAGGGCAGACGAAAAGGACGGCTGATCATGTGATAAATGTGAACCTGTCATTCAGTGCGATGCATTAGTAAAAATGCAGACCATAAGTTGAATAAAATTTCATGCGCATCAGCATGCTGTAATGGTGAATAGCATGCTCCTGCAGCGAATAGCCTGGAGCTCTTAGTCACACCTGTTGGCAAGAGGAGTCCTCACACTGTGCACACAACCGCACTGTTTGCGATTGGAGCACTGGCTTACCAGTGCATGAGACAGGAAGTATAAACTCCACATCACGTCACGTCACGTCACATCACATTACATCACATCACATCACTGGGCATTACAGTTTTACTCTATTCTGTGGGAATCCCACCTCTCTTCCTTATTACCAGTGCCTCATTTTTAAGAGCACTGGAAACAGAAGCAGAACCTAAGAACCGTCGGGAAGATGAGCGGATTAGTAAAAATCAGTCAGACAGCTGAAAGCCTGGCCATGTGTAGCTTGGATAAGAGAGAATTCAGACACAGTACAGTCTTCAAGGATCCAAAAGAACTTCATCCAGAAGGATAGCATTCTGCATTGGAGATCCTAACCTGAGCAAGGAGCTGGGCTCCAAATTATTATAAGTAGTATTTTTATTGCCCCACTGAAGAAGATTGATGTGCCTAAATGAAGGTGGTTGGGGACAACCCCACACAGGTGCTCGGGGAGTTCCATATATGTTAGGAGCAAGAAGGAACTTTTTAAAGCAAAAAGATACTCATAGCAGTGGAGATCACTGGGAGAGGATTAACCGAAACAAGGAACAAAAGACACAGTAAATCTAAGCCACGGAGAATTTTCGTAAAAGCATTAAGTTGTTCCTTTTGAATAAGCAAGGGGATGAAATGCTACTCTAAGCAGGTAAGACTGAGGAGCAAGGTGAATTTTTTTCATAATAGAGTTTTGGATCAAGGAGGGAGGAGCAAGGTGTGAACAACAGGCCAAAGAGAAGTTGATGAATTGGAAAGAAACCTGTGACCCACTATGTGAGCCAGTCAGGCCATAATGCGCCAGAGAGCAGCCCTGCTGCACAGCCTGATTTTTCCCCTGGTCAGGGAACACAGAGTCACTGGGAGTATTGCATCCCCGTTCCCTCACGAAAATCAGTCCAAAAACTTTGGAGGGAAGGGCAGCAGCAACGGAGACCAACCAGGGGCCCATCCTCTCTTCCCCATCCTCGCAGGAAGGACATTCACCTCCAGCTGCTGATCCTTGGCCTGCAGAAGCAGCAAGAAAAACATTCTCCTGCCCCAGACCAGCAGGAACGGAGAGCTGTTCGAGTATCAGCAAATCAGGCCAGCCGCAGCAGGCCAAAATATAGGATTAGAGATCACCCCCATTTCATGGTTCTGGCAACAAAAATCCCCCCCCCCCATTTGCTTCGGATTCCTGAG